TGCACCACTATACCTGGCTGTCTTGGCCTTTTACAAAAATGTTTTTTTCAGGCAGGGTTTCCTTGCGTTGCCTAAGCTGGTCTCCAACTTGTCATCCTTGTACCTCAGCCTCCCAGAGTCCTGGGATGACAGGCATGTGCCATTGTGCCTGGCTGCAAAAGCTTTATTTATAATAAGCCTCCAAGGCTCTCGGTGATCTATCCTCTCACCTGCATTCTGCCTTGGTGATGGTAATCCTAGCTTCTGTAATGAAGAAACTCCAGTAAACATTTGTAAACAAATAAGCTCCAGTGGCTAGGTGTAACTGAAGTTTATAATCTTCTTCCCCACAAAACAGTGCATGCAGCATGAATGCTCTTGGTTAGCCAGCACCTTCCCTCCATATACAGAGATCAGACACCTCTGTCTTCTGTTTTGCCATCCTGAGAATCTCTGAATTTTGTATCTATACCTGATGGAAGGCAGAGAAGAGAGAGGGAACAAACCTCATTTCAAGTTCTCATTACTTTGAAATTTTCAAATAGAGGGCCTTGGGCATGTTAGGCAAGCATTCTACCACTGAGCTACATCTCCAGCCTGAAGTCCTCATTTCCCAAATGCCCTGACCTGGCAGCTACACGGGTAAAGGTATGCATGCATTTCATTGGCCACACCTGGATGCAAGTAGGACTGAGAAATGTCTCTGACATTACCTGCCTGCCTGGGATAGCTCCACACACTACGGAAGTTGTACTAGAGGCTAACTCCGCCATAACTTCTGCCCCCTTCTACCTCTCTTCCCAACCCTAACCCTCCCCAGTCAGCCAGACCTCCTTATTGCTCCACAGGTACTCCAGGGGCTCTCTGACTCACCTGTCCTAGAATTTTTTCACATGTACTAAGGCTTTCTCATGTCCTTCATGTTGAAATAGTGTGGCGGTCCAGCCGTCACAACACGAACATGCCTGAGTTGGGGAGTGAGGATTGAGAAAGGAAAGAACACTCAAGCCTGAGTGGAGACCAAGAGAAATCTGATTTATTTCACAGAAACAGCTCCTTTTATAGGTTCACATCAGCAGGAAGCACCAAGAAACTACTTGTATCTTTTATACAAAGACCGGATTTTCTGACTTTACAAAGAACATCAGATCTATGGCTGTCTCTGAGTTTCTCCCATTGCAGCAACAAGTTTAACAAGCAGAGTCCTAGAATGTTACACAGATTGTATCAATGCCTTGAGCGTAGAGGTGAAGAAGTTTCCTTTTAAATGTCAGTCTCCTAGAGGGCCATGGCCGGGCTCCCACAAAATAGTTGCCACTTATCAAGTTAACAGCTGGGTGTGGTAGTGCATGTTTATAATCCTAGCATTTGGAAGGCTGAAGCAGGAGGATTGCCATGAGTTCAAGCCTGGGCTACACAGTGAGTTCAAGGCCAGCTTGGATTACATAGTAAGCCTGTCTCAAAAAAGAAAACTAAACAAAAACCCAATATATCCTAGATATGTAAAGTTCCTTTATTAATTTTTATTTATTTATTTTTATTGTGGGGGGATTTTTTTGGGTACTGGGGATTGAAGTTGGGACCTTGTGCTTGTGAGGTAGGCAGCCGAATTACTGAGCTAAATCCCCGGCCCCATTTATTAATTTTTAAGTTAATTCACAAATATTCAGTGCAATCCAGTGAGTGAGAAGAACGATTATTTGCAGTCCAGAGAAGTTAACTGATGTGCCTCAATTTACCCAGCTCTTAAGCGTGGAGGTGGGGATCTACATATGAAACTATAAGAGCATCCAGTTCCGCATTTCCTTTCTGATTCTCTTAAGAAGTAATCATTCTGCCAAATATTTCCTACTGGGAAGTAGATCACCTTACAGTTGGGTATTCTGGGCCTACAAGCAGATACATTTCCCAGGGCAAATTAACAGTCATGGTTTTGTATTTAATGTGTGTTTTATGAGTTCAGCTGGTGTCAGAGGCCTTCTAGCACCTGGTTCCCTTGGGACATTGGACTAAAAGTTTCTGGACTTTTAAACCTGGGACATGACAACATTTATTCCTTTTTAAAGCCTCTTCTATGTTACTGTCAGACTGATCACTCTAAGATGTGGGTCAAATCTTGCCACTCATTAGTTTAGATTACTATTTTGGGGGATTGAACCCATGGCTTTTGCATGGAACTACATCCCCAGCCTTTTTATTTTTTGTGACAGACCCTCTCTAAGTTTCCCAGGCTGAGTTCATACTTATGATTTTGCCTCAGGCTCCCAGAGTCCTGGGATTTCAGGCACATGCCACCATGCCAAGCAAGGATAATTTATTTTAAAAAATTGGAATTGCATTTTAAAATTAATTAATTGGTACCAGGGGTCAAACTTGGGACCTTGCGCTTTCGAAGCAGGTGGCAGAACCACTGAGCTAATTCCCCAGCCCTGCAGTTGTTGTTTGTTTTTTTGAGACAAGGTCTTGCTGGGTGTTCAGCTATGTAGTGTTGAGCTCACTATGCAGTCCAGGCTGTCCTCAAACTCATGATGATCCTCCTGCCTCAGCCTACTGAGTCCTGGGATTACAGGTGTGCACCACCATGCCTGGCAAGGATAATTTCTTTAGCCTGGCAGTTGAAGCCTTCCTTCCTTCCTGGTTCTGACCCTTTTAATGCTCCATTTCTCATATTCATGCATTACTAGCTGTTGCCTAAACACCATTTTATGTCATCCCTGTTGCACCTGCTGTATCAAATATAGTATCTTCTTTCCCCACTCTCTTTTTACCTGAGAAATTCCTTTCGATCCTCCTGATTGCAGGTCAGAGTGCAACTCCTGGAAGTTCCCTTACCATACCCCAAATGGCTGCATTTCTGTGCTCTGTAACTACTGAGCTCTCTGATCCCAATTGCTGTCTCTGTCTGCACACGTAGGACAGGCAACACCTTTCATGGCTTTGCAAAACCTCCTTCTTCTACCTACCTTTCTTTCTTTTTTTTTTTTTTTTGGTACCAGAGATCGACCTCAGGACCTTGCGCTTGCAAAGCAGGTGGTGGAACCACTGAGCTAAATCCCTGGCCCTCCCCTACCTTTCTCCCATCAGTTCAGGCAGGCTGCATACAGTGAGTGACAGGTGCTATGGTTTCCAGTGACTTTGGCTGTGACCTCCAGGTCATACTCCCCAAGGGCAGTTGAGATAATTGCTCAGGAGAAAGCCCAGGCCTGGGGAATTCAGCTGCCTTGTGGCCCTTAGTGGCAGCTTGCCAGGGCAGAACGTGGGCACCCCTCTTTCTGGAGCAGTAATCATAATAATAAACTGTAATATTTACCCAAGGGCTTCTCTGTTTCAGATACTCAGCTCAGCACTTTACCTATCCATGCATGGGTGTTATGTTGTCCTCACAAAAACCATGACTGCTGGCTCCTAGAGGTTAAGTAATTTGCCCAAGGTCACACAGTGAACGATACAGTCAGGATTTAAATCTCAGCACTGTTTCTAGAGTCCATGCTATAAGGAGTTGCCTCCTTGGCCTCTGACCTCCTCCCCAACAAGGACACGTGTCTTTAGCTTCTGTGGGAAATGAAATCACAGGATCCCAGGGCAAGGACTAGGGGGTAAATTTCCCTCTGCCTCACCTACAGGAAGAGGACTCAGGGATGGATGGAAATTTCTCACAGCAGGGAGAAGGGGGCTTCCAAGCGGCAGGGGCCTTGGAGGTCCCCAGAGAGAAAAAGAGGGTGGGCTGGAGCGGGAGAAAAGGCCTGGCTGGGATATGGGGGAAACGATGAGTTGAGTGACAGCACAGGATCCTACCTAGTTCAGGGCCTCTTAAACCCAACATAATCTTGGGCAAGTTCTTGCTTTTCTCCAAGCCTCAGTTTCTCCGTTTGTAAATTAAGCGTAAATACTGTGTAAGACCTTCTCCCGCCCAAAGAAGAGGCATCTTGAGTCCTATGAGGGAAAAGGCCCAGCACGGACCACCAGGGAGGAGGGCAGAGAAAAGGCGCTGTGTAGGGTCTCTGGGTCCAGCTGGAGATAGAACCGGGTGGGCCTCGGACCTCAGCCCGGCAACCTCATCCCGGGTGACAGGGCCGGGCTAAGATACCCGGACCTCTAGTGTGCGTGTGTGTGGGGTGGATGGGTCAGGGCCCCGCACGGCCCGGGGTCGCTGCTCTGCGGGATGCGCCCACTCTTCCCGCACTCCGGCCCTCCACAAGGGAGTCGCAGTCCCGCGGGGAGGC